CTGTTCCCATATTTGTCCACGTCCTGCTAACCCATCATTCCTGCACTTGTTATCTACTTTGGTTCCTGGTCATCAAAGTTCTTCATGTAATATTTATATTTAATTAATTAATGCTCATACGTAATATCTTTATCCTCGTGTTCATATCCCTCCACAGCCTCTGCTCTTCTTATTTCTGTCACCTCCTTCTGTCCTACAACCCTCCAGAAATTCTGAGCTCCTCCAACAGCACCTTCCAAACCAGAGACCTCAACCACCTAGTGGGATAAGGGTAGCAGATGCAACGGGAATACTACCATCTTGCAAGCTTCTCTCCAAGGTACAAACCATCCTGACTCGGAACCACACCATCATTTCTTCGCTGTTGCTGAATTAAAATCCTAACAGTGCTGTGAATCTACCAACACGACACAGATTACAGCGGTTCAAAAAGACAGTTCACAACCACCTAAGGACAACCAAGGTTGAGCAACAAATGCTGGCTGAACCAGTGATTCTCACATTCTGTCAAAGAATAAATAAATGTCCTCCAAATCTGACCTCTTACCCATTCTTTACTCTCTCTATCCCACCATCGGCGCCTTGAAAATCTTGAGCTCAGAAATTCCTTCCCTGGGCTATTCCCTCTCAAAGCTTTTACACCAACTTTCTAAAATGTTCTTCATTGTTATCAATCAGCAACTCGATAACAAACAAAAACGAAAGAACTGCGGATGCTGTAACTCAACTAGAAACAGAAATTGCTACAAAAGCTCAGCAGGTCGGGCAACAGCTGAGGAGAGAAATCAGAGTTAACGTTTCGGGTTGAGTGACTCTTCCTCAGATAAAAACTGAAAGAACTGCGGATGCTGTAAATCAGGAACAAAAACAAAGTTGCTGGAAAGGCTCAGCAGGTCTAGCAGCATCTGTGAAGGAAAAAAACAGAGGAAGGGTTCTGAGGAAGGGTCACCGGACCCGAAACGTTAACCCTGTTTTTCTCTTCACAGAGGCTACCAGACCTGCTGAGCTTTTCCAGCAACTTTGTTTTGACTCTTCCTCAGAACGGATTAATAAAATTCTCGAAGTGTCCCGGAATATTCTCCTACAGAATAGGCACTGCACGAAAACATGTTGTTGCAGCAGAGTACAAATCAGAAATTTGGCCACACACATTAACCTTCCACTTAACTATGGACAAGCGTGAAATATAAACCTTCACCCTGAAGAAAATGAACCTCGTGATTTAATCAGATGAATGAACGTATGATTTAAAACGGTCAGATCTGGAAGCTGGGTGCGTACTTCAAGTATCCAATCCCCTTTCTAACTGCACAGACTGTTCTGTCTTACCCAAGGGTGTGCTAACATGTATGCATACACAGGCAAATGCTCCAGCGAATACAACCACCAGCTCTGCAAAGGAAAATATCAACTTGTGGGGCTATTTTAAAAAGTAATTGGCATATCTCAAAAGTTACACAATTCCCATATCTTTTTCTGGCACATTTTCTAGTGTGCATGTAAAGTAAATGAGAAAATCAACAAGGAAGTAAGTAAATGGTGTACAATGACAAGTCAAACAATGATCTAGGAGAGTGGTTTGCACCACTAACTCACCTGGCCAGCTGTATCTAAAATTTCCATAGAAACTGCTTCATCATCAATGGTGGCTTGGTGGCGATAGGTTGACTCTGGCAATTTGTATTAAAAAGAAAATCTTTCATTAATGTCGGATTCTACATTACATCGGCTTGGATGAGCATTAAGCCTAAGAACAGTACTTACAAGCTGATCTCAAACCCTCTAATCTCAAATACAGTCAATATTTCTCCTCAAATGTAAGAATAGAAACTTGGAGCTCTTCACGATGCACTGTCCCAGTATTAAGGAGTGCCAAGGTTGACCAAGTTCACCAAACAATTTGAAAATTTGTTTCTAAGATTGTGTTTGGGACACAGAAAAATGTAAATGCAAAAGGAATTAAGATGCAGAAACCATTATTTAGATTGGCACCCAAAAGTGCTACTTATGAGAGCAAAATCTTTTAATTAAATCATATAAATTAAGTAGTTACAGCAGTTGTAGTGTTTCATAAACAGCAATCTTGTTGGCTGTGCCTTTTTCAACTAAACACTCAGAGTTAATACGTTAAGCCACAGATACACTTGATGTAATTATAGCCTAACTTGCCTTGTGGGACACTAGCAGGTGGAACACCAGAGACTTCATTGCAGAGTAAAGCTGGACAGAGTGTAAAAACTGGGTTAACTGATTTCAGTTTTCCTGATGAATGATTTAAGTTAAAATTGTCCCCAATAGTAAATCACTGCTGGCACACTCCTTAAAAGCAGAAGTGTCTGTGGGTTTGGTATCCTTCCTGAACTCATGCCAGTTATTTAACAGAATAATATCAAGGTATCGTTACAAGAGATATTTGCTTCCTAATGTTTTATAAATCCAGTTGTTTCACTGTGTTTTGTCAACTTCAGAATCCTCTGTGTCTCTCACACCTCACTTGACATGCACAGCATTCCCAGCATTCTGTGTATAGTGTGTGACTGAAGGAGCCATTAGGCTGAAGGACAATAGCCACAACTTACCTCTCTTCACAACTACTTCTAATGATGGTAGAACTCCACTTTTCTAATAACACTTTCCCTTTTACATGGTGATTGCCCTGATTGATACTTGTTCTTTCTGCCTATTGGCACAACTGGCGGCATTTTGTTAGATTTTGTGTCTTGGGATGGTGAATTCAGAAAGAATGTGTCCCAGCCTGCAAACTCAACAGTATTAGCCACGGAGGTCAGTGTTTTTCTTCAGATTTCAATTACTAGAAAATCTTGAACACACAAGTGACACTCACCTCTTTGCCTTCTCTTCAATCTGAATTTCTATTAAGTTGGGCTCCACATTGGGGAGAATTGTCTCAATAATCTTAGATAACAAGGTGTAGAGCTGGATGAACGCAGCAGGCCAAGAAGCATCAGAGGAGCAGGAAAGCTGACGTTTCGGGTCGAGACCCTTCTTCAGAAATGGGGGAGGGGCAAGGGATTCTGAAATAAATAGGGAGAGAGGGGGAGCCGGATAGAAGATGGGTAGAGGAGAAGATAGGTGGAGAGGAGACAGACAGGTCACAGAGGTGGGGTTGGAGCCAGTAAAGGTGAGTGTAGGTGGGGAGTTAGGGAGGGGATAGGTCGGTCCAGGGAGGACGGACAGGTCAAGGAGGCGGGATGAGGTTAGTGGGTAGGATATGGGGGTGGGGCTTGAGGTGGGAGGAATGGTTAGGGAGGCGGGGACTAGCTGGGCTGGTTTTGGGATGCGGTCGGGGGAGGGGAGATTTTGAAGCTTGTGAAGTCCACATTAGGCTGCAGGGTTCCCAAGCGAAATATGAGATGCTGTTCCTGCAGCTTTTGGGTGGCATCATTGTGGCAACACAGGAGGCCCAGGATGGACATGTCGTCCAAGGAGTGGGAGGGGGAGTTGAAATGGTTCGCGACTGGGAGGTGCAGTTGTTTGTTGCGAACTGAGCGTAGGTGTTCCGCAAAGCGGTCCCCAAGCCTCGGCTTGGTTTCCCCGATGTAGAGGAGGCCACAACGGGAACAGCGGATACAGTATACCACATTAGCAGATGTGCAGGTGAACATCTGTTTGATGTGGAAGGTCTTCTTAGGGCCTGGGATGGGGGTGAGGGGGGAGGTGTAGGGACAGGTGTAGCACTTCCTGCGGTTGCAGGGAAAAGTGCCGGGGGTGGTGGGGCTGGAGGGGAGTGTGGAGCGGACAAGGAAGTCACGGAGACAGTGGTCCCTCCGGAAAGCAGATAAGGGTGGGAGGGTAAAATGTCTTTGGTAGTGGGGTCGGATTGCAGATGGCGGAAGTGTCAGAGGATGATGCGTTGGATTCGGAGGTTGGTGGGGTGGTACGTGAGGACGAGGGGGATTCTGTTTTGGTTGTTATTGCGGGGAGGGGGTGTGAGGGATGAGTTGCGGGAAATGCGACAAACACAGTCGAGGGCGTTTTCGACCACGGTGGAGGGGAAGTTGCGGTCCTTGAAAAACGAGGACATCTGGAATGTTCGGGAGTGGAATGCCTCATCTCGGGAGCGAAGGAATTGGGAATAGGGGATGGCCTTTTTGCAGGAAGGTGGGTGGGAGGTGGTGTATTCTAGGTAGCTGTGGGAGTCGGTGGGCTTGAAGTGGATATTGGTTTCCAGGTGAATGCCAGAGATGGAGACAGAGAGGTCCAGGAAGGAGAGAGAGGTATCAGAGATGGTCCAGGTGAACTTAAGGTTGGGGTGGAAGGTGTTGGTGAAGTGGATGAACTGCTCAAGCTCCTCGCGGCGCCGATACAGTCATCAATGTAACGGAGGAAGAGGTGGGGTTTAGGGCCAGTGTAGGTATGGAAGAGGAATTGTTCCACGGAGCCTACAAAGAGGCAGGCATAGCTTGGGCCCATGCGGGTACCCATGGCCACCCCCTTTGTCTGTAGGAAGTGGGAGGAATTGAAAGAGAAGTTGTTGAGTGTGAGGACGAGTTCGGCTAAGCGAATGAGGGTGTCAGTGGAAGGGGACTGGTCGGGCCTGCGGGACAGGAAGAAGCGGAGGGCCTTTAGGCCATCTGCATGGGGAATGCAGGTGTATCGGGACTGGACGTCCATGGTAAAGATGAGGTGTTGGGGACCAGGGAATTGGAAGTTTTGGAGGAGGTGGAGGGCATGGGTGGTTCCACAGATGTAGGTAGGGAGTTCCTGGACCAAGGGGGAGAAAATGGAGTCGAGATAGGTGGAGATAAGTTCGGTGGGGCAGGAGCAGGTGGAGACAATGGGTCGACCTGGGCAGTCAGGCTTGTGGATTTTGGGAAGGAGATAGAAACGGGCGATACGGGGTTGGGGAATGATGAGGTTGGAAGCTGTGGGTGGGAGGTCACCTGAAGTGATGAGGTTGTGGATGGTTTGCGAGATGATGGTTTGGTGGTCGGGGATAGGATCATGATCAAGGGGGCAGTAGGAGGAGGTGTCAGAGAGCTGGCGTCTGGCCTCGGCGACGTAGAGGTCAGTGCGCAATACTACAACTGCGCCTCCCTTGTCCGCGGGTTTTAGGGTGAGGTTGGGATTGGAGCAGAGGGAGCGGAGGGCCGCACGTTCTGTGGGGGAGAAGTTGGAGTGGGTGAGAGGGGTGGAGAGGTTGAAGTGATCGATGTCTCGACGGCAGTTAGAGATGAAGAGGTCGAGGGAGGGTAGGAGGCCATGGGGTGGTGTCCAGGAGGAGGGGGTGTGTTGGAGGCGGGAGAAGGGATCAGTAGGGGGAGGGTTAGGCTCACGGTTGAAGAAGTAAGCGCGGAGGCGGAGGTGGCGGAAAAACTGTTCAATGTCCAAACATGAGTTGTATTCATCAATGTTTGGGTGGAGGGGGACAAACGTGAGCCCGTTACTGGGGACTGACCATTCGTCCTCAGTAAGGGGGAGGTCTGGGGGAGGATGGTGAAGACTCGGCAGGGCTGGGTGCTGCAGTCTCCTCTAGAGCTGCTGGCTGTGGAGGTGGTGGGCAGAGCGACGTCAGCAGTGGACAGAGTGACGTTGGCAGTGGGCGGCGCGACATCGGCCGGTAAATCTTGGATGGTGGTGGCAGCAGCATCCTCGATGTCTGTGTTGTCGGCCTCAGAAATGGAGGCGGCGGCATCAGCAACGGTGTCGATGGCATTGGCTGTACCGGAAGTGGTGTACCGGGCGGCGGCGGATGTGACGTCATCCGTGGAATCTGTGGGTGCTCCGAAGGTGGCCACATGGCCAATGGTGGCGGGCACATGGTGGGGAAGGTCCTGGGTAGGGTGGCAGGCACCAGCAAGTTTAAAGTACTTTCGGTTTTTAGTGTCCAATAAAGCCGAGTAGAATTGAGAGTTCAGGTTGTGGATCTTATGAGGAATAAAAAACAGGAGAGGTCCTTTGCAGGTCTGGGAGAGGGAGGCTCTGAGCTGGGGTAGGCTTAATTGTAGTGCCAGGAGATGTTGGCGCATCGCAGCGAGTGTATATTTCAGGAGTCGCAGGGAGAAACGCTTCTGTAGGATATCAATGTTCTAAATGTAGGGGTCGTCGCGGTTGGGGCCAAATTGGGAAGGCTTAAATGTAGACTGTAGTCCGTTGGCGTATGATCTGGTTCCGTAGGCAGGTACTCAGAAAGGCAATGTGGCTGTAGTACCTAGTTTGCTTTAGGACGTGGGCGAGCAGTTTCAGGGCCGAAGAGATTACAAGAGGGTTGCAGTGGGAAAGGGATACACTGAGGTTTTTCCAGAGGGAGGAGGGTAACTTCTTTAAGGTAGGCATCCTTAGAAGAGGCTTCACAGTGGGGTTAAAATTGTTAGAGATAGTAGGATCTGCCAATGCTGGAGAATCTGAGATAACAAGGTGTAGAGCTGGATGACCACAGCAGGCCAAGCAGCATCAGAGGAGCAGGAAAGCTGACGTTTCGGGTCGAGACCCTTCTTCAGAAATGGGGGAGGGGAAGGGGATTCTGAAATAAATAGGGAGAGAGGGGGAGGCAGATAGGAGACGGATAAAGGAGAAGGTAGGTGGAGAGGAGACAGGCAGGTCAAAGAGGCGGGGTTGGAGCCAGTAAAGGTGAGTGTAGGTGGGGAGTTAGGGAGGAGATAGGTCAGTCCAGGGAGGACGGACAGATCAAGGGGGCAGGATGAGGTTA